TGGATTTGATAATGAACGAGGAAATGGTAACCAGAAGTGGACCGCTAACTAGCAGTGAAGAGGGAGGTAGGTTATTTTTGCAGAGATGGATGGTAGAGCTTCTGGAGAACCTGGAAGAGGAATGGTTGATGGACGTTTGATGAGACGACTGTAAACTTCTGCATAGGGGTTATTTGGGGCCCTGATCATGAATATGACACTCATTTTTCACATTCGTGCTGTTTAACGCATACTTTCTGCTTTACTAAGCTTTCTCACCTACAGCGCCTACGACTAAGCATAGGGGAGGGGAGTGAAACTCCGGAGTGGGTAAACCACGCACCGTGTGGCAAAAGTTGGAGTGTGTCACACCACAGGGGAATGGCCTACCCACTTTGGAGCCCTACACTACTCAAAGGCTTAGTCCTACTGCGATCTATTTAATTAGTGCGAGGGCGCAGACGAGCACGAATCAGGACCCCGAATAACCCCTATACAAAAGTTTAAAACGAATTTAGTGGGAAACAGTTGTGGCGCCACCTGGCCCCAAATGGCGCCAGCGTCCAAAATGAGTATCATATCCGTAATGAGGACAGAAGCGTTTCGTAAAAGATGTTATACCCTTATGCAGAAGTCTATACAACAATATGAACCCACAAAATGCAAGCACAAGCGACACTATTAAACCCTCGTTCACCGATAATTCGTAAAACACCATTTGTGTGGCATCGCCCGGAATCGTGTAAGTCACAAAACGTTTTCAATAATGAGACAGAATTAGTGATTCACCGCATTTATCAATACAATGGGTGTGAGCGCGGGCAAGTAAGGAATCAGAAACTTACAAATTCACGCATGCAAAAAAGCTGCTCCAATCGCGCGTTCTTCCATACCGTAGTTGTTTTCGCTGCGGGTGCGCCAGCCTGCCGCGCGATGTCGCGTTGCGAAGAGCGAAAAAGTCGCGTTCTGTCCTAAGTACCCACACCCACTAAGGGGCAGTGAATAAACGATACTAAGCGCAGCAGTTTTGTGAGTCTCTCGCAGTAAATAAGGACAACGGAACACTAATGGAATGATTTTACTGCAACACAGTACTACCAGTCAATACAGTTTTTTGGCGATGTGATTGTTTTGAAGACGTTCATTTTCACCATGGCTCCCTTAGATTTGTAACAAGTCTCAGTTTCAAACATGTGCAAGAACCATACTAACTGACAAAGATCCATGAGTAGGAAAAAGGAAACGTCTTTTGATTAAGTCACATGTTACTTATGATCACAATACGTGTGACAAACTTGTTAGTGTCCTTCACCACAACAATGACATTGAACTTCACAGGTGAAAATGGCTTTGCCATTTCATAATATTTGGAAAGCTTGCTATTTCAAGGTATTTCTGGGCGAAAATTGTTATCTACACCAATCACCTGTGTCAGAAGGCAATTTCTCCAGTTGGCTCTCATGGAATAAGCGCTGCGAATTCGACCCCCACAAATCTTCGTGTAGACTGCTTACTACCTCTTTCTTGCCTGCTTGCAATGCTCCAAAGTGGCCAACGGCAATTCTTTCCAATTTCTATGGCATTTTGTTCCGCTGGGGCCTCTTCACCGCTCACGGCATGCTGCCGGAGTGGTCCCACTACGAACGGGGTTCAAACAGAGCCCTCCTACGGACAGTGGCTGATCAAAAATAGCGTAACGAACCTGAAGTCTCTCAATATCGTACTTTTGAGAGATTGCCGTCACCAAGAAATCAAGATGACGGAAAAGAAATCCAGACTGAGAGTTCCCAACACCTGAGGACGAGTCCTGAAGAACAGTTTCTTGAATAACGCCAAGGTCGTCTGATTCTGATGGTTGGACGCTCGTTGACGGGTTTTGCAAATCGCTCATCAATTGTCCAACAGCTACAAGAAACCATTGTTAGAACACAAAGGGAACACAGCCTCAAGGATAAAACCCGCCGCAGAACTTCTTCTGAATAAAGTGGTGGAGTTTTTCGGTATTGAGTATTAATAAGAAGACAAAATGCCCAAACAACTTAGCGGCTATTTTTTCCTACTTTACTGGATACTCCGTTTGAAGGTGATCACAATTTGATATTCGACAGTTGCCAAAATGCAAGACTTACCGGTGAAACTCGGGGTCGGGTAGGGGCACGCAATGGCGCGGCGCTGTCCTCTTCAGGGTGTAAGGGGGTGGAGTGATAAGTTCCATACCACTGTCGTCTACATCGCGAGTCAGGGCTTATTCCACAGGGACAGTTACTCTTTCGCCATCATGTGGCAGTTTCAAAATACGCGCCATCGGTGACTACTAAGCCTTGGTAGAGCAGACGAAAACAGCGCCGCGCCATCGCGTGCCCCCCCCCCCAACCCGCGTTTCACCGCCTTACCATTACGCACTTATTTGATTTGAGACACGTTCATCACGTTTTCACGTAAAGGCAGCGGCGAAATATGTGGAACAAGAAACTCGTTGATCTGTCTAGGGCGCACTCGTGGTCGGTCGTCCGGTCGGCCGGACGCATAGTCGGTCGGACGACAGCAACGACTGCTGCTGTCGGACGACAGCAACGACCTGCAGGTGTCGCATAAACCGCGGTCGCAAATGGAAGGCGACGCGGTCACCCAATGCAAACCCAGACAACACGTGACTGCGCGTGATCGTATTTCGAAAGTCCCACTGTAGTGTGGAATAGTAGCTGCGTATTGATCTGCGACACTTGCAGTCGTTGCTGTCGTCCGACAGCAGCAGTCGGACGACAGCAACGACTGCAAGTGCCGCAGATCGATACGCACCCAATACTGTGCGACACTTGCAGTCGTTGCTGTCGTCCGACCGACTATGCGTCCGGCCTCCGTCTGTAACGATCGTAAGCATTGATGATATCGACCGTCAGACACGTCCACAAATTCGACGACCGATACGTATCTAAGCGCTTATGGCCGGACGCATAGTCGGTCGGACGACAGCAACGACTGCTGCTGTCGGACGACAGCAACGACTGCAGGTGTCGCATAAACCGCGGTCGCAAATGGAAGGCGACGCGGTCACCCAATGCAAACCCAGACAACACGTGACTGCGCGTGATCGTATTTCGAAAGTCCCACTGTAGTGTGGAATAGTAGCTGCGTATTGATCTTGCAGTCGTTGCTGTCGTCCGACAGCAGCAGTCGGACGACAGCAACGACTGCAAGTGCCGCAGATCGATACGCACCCAATACTGTGCGACACTTGCAGTCGTTGTTGCTGTCGTCCGACCGACTATGCGTCCGTTAGCGATCGTTACGATGTTACGGTCACGACGCAACAACTGTGCATGCACCCTTAGTGACCCAACCATCGCAACTGCGAAGATCTCTCATATAAGTTCAGCGTCAGAGATTTCTAAGAAGGGAAGGATACCAAGTCGAGGTGGCCATTTTGTAACGAGTTATACACCACCAGATGTGTTTTTGGGCGTTGATCATCGAATCTGTTCTCCAAATCTGCGAAACGAATTCTCTGACGTAGTTATGAAGTGCGATAGTGCAGTGGCAGCAGGGGTTGGCGTCGACAAGATAGAGTGTCGTGAGATGACTCTTGGCAAGTTTTCAGCTGCTTTTCTTGAAAACATTGTTCAAAGGAACTCTTATGCACGCTAAATTAATCAACGACTGCCTATCCTATAAGAGGAAAGAGCTGGCAAAGAGCTTCGAACACTGTGCGCGTCATTTGCCGTGTCCTGTCGGTCGTTTGTGCCCACATTTTCGACTTTAGGTCAAATTTTGGATTTGGACCAAAAAAGTTGTCACAAGGGGTACTTTGATGCGCTGAATCAGGGCTCCGCGAAACTCCCATTTATTTGAACAGCCGAAAGTGCATGACGCTATGTGCTACGCTACGGGTGACAGTAGACCGGTCATCTTTTCTATATATACCTTCCACCACAGAAATGTCTAAGCACTTCGCCAGCTCTTTCCACTTGTATGCTTGACAACCGCTAATGACTAAGTATGGATGGAAGTTCCTTAAACAATGTTTTCAAGATAAGCAAAAGTAAGTACTCACCGAGATGCCGATCCATGACCTCCATGTGCGTCGGCCGACCGCTGCCACTGCACTATCTCGCTTCATAACTACGTTCAGAAAATCGTTTCGCAGATTTGGAGAGCAGATTCGAGATCAGCGTCAAAAACACATCTAGTGGTGTATGTCTCGTTACAAATGGCCACTTCGACCTGGTATCCTTCCCTTGTGAGCGACTTACGTTTACCAGTTTAAGAGTAACTGAAATGACTCCTACTATCATCTTGAAGCGCATCTCTTCGAATTTGCTGTAAACGAAACAGTTCTATTACGCGGAAAGCAACGCAGCAAGCGTCATTTTCGAATCTCACGAGTCACCACTACGGATTTCATGTTTCACAAAAGTCTCGTCCCGCCCGCGTTTTAGCGAGAAATAACTGCGCAGCCCGAGCGCAACAAACCAACTCGTACAAATTAAAGTTAGTTTTGGGCTTCAGTGCAACATTTTTGGAGATAGGTTTGGAATAGTTTGCAGTGTTCTGATAGTACATGAATAACCTGTTCAGACATTAGATGGCATATCCCAAAGACCGACAAAGTGAAATTAAAAACTGAATTTCTGCCTACTGAACGAAAGAAGACGCTTTTATTGGTAACGAGAGTGAAGTTCGCAGCAGTTAACCGTTCAGTTTGTTCAGTTCAATACATGAAAATGCAGCTCGAGAAAACTACTGCAAAACGAGCCCGACGAGGAGGTGGGGCCTGGTGGCGTGTTGGCCAGTAGGGGTTGGACGAGATGTCCCTTTCCATTTGACTTCGGGAGTTTCATCACAAGCGATGGAATTCCTGAATAATATTGACGTTGTGATTTGCTTCGTATGATTTTATGAATGTAATTCTGAGAATCGCTTTGTTTGTTAGTAGCGATGTGTTGATTTCCCGCGCAGAGTCGTATAATTGTCGTGCTTTTTGTAATTATTTTTGCTTGGTTCCAGGTACTTGTTAACAAATCATGCCCAAGAATAAGGGAAAGGGAGGTAAAAACAGAAGAAGGGGGAAGAATGAGAACGACTTTATGAAAAGAGAGCTTGACACGAAGGATGTTGGACAAGGTACGTTGTTCATCACATTTTCCGTGTTGCCGAGTACGCTCATGTTACGCTTTGTTATTTTGCTAGAATATGGTCAAGTTTCTAAAATGCTTGGTAATGGTCGCGTATTGGCCTTCTGTTTTGATGGTAAGCAGAGAGTGTGCCATATTCGAGGGAAGCTGAGAAAGAAGGTTTGGATCAACACTGGTGACATTATTCTTGTTGGACTGAGGGACTATCAGGATGATAAGGTTTGCTTTTTTGTTTTCTACTGAGATCGAACGTATGATGAATCAATGTGATATTTTTTAGGGCGATGTTATTCTCAAGTATACACCAGATGAGGCTCGACGTCTGAAGGAGAAGAATGAGCTGCCAGAACACGCGAAGATTAATGAGAATGATGAACAAGAGGAGGGAGAGATTGAATTCAGTAGGTTTTTATCAGATTATGGCGATAACGGCATGGTAGCAGGCCATAGTTAAGCTTTCTTCAATAGTTAGAGTTAGCGATTCATTGCTCACTGTAAGGAGCTTTTTCCAGGAGATCTTGGGGCAGAATCTGGAGATGACGAAGGAGAGGAGGAAGACAACAATATGCCTTCAAGTGGGAGCGATGAAAGTGAAGAAGAGAGTGAAGACGAGGATGAAGACGGAACTGAGAGTAAGTTATTAATGCTAGTAATCGCAGTCAAACATGATTAGATAGCCTCGAGCAGAATTGTCGATTCTTCTTTCGGCTGTTCTCATGTATACTCGGAATGTAACTTACAAACCGGCTGATGTACTTTGTATAATCGTTTCATTTGTTCTAAGCTTGGGCTTTTGCGTCCTTAGAGGCTTGTTTCGTGGGTGCACACCTCCCTTTGCAGTGCTTATTGTGAAATCTCATGGGATGCAGTACTTGAAGGACCGTCGACGGACTACTTGAACTCAGCCCTTTAAACCGCCTCTGCGCTCTCTCGCGGGTCCCTCTCCTCTCCAAGGCTTAGTCCTAGGGCATTCACCCGTTCTCTAATCGTCTGTGCTCTAGCCATCGCGGCAGGACCATTGAGGAAAAATCAAGTAGTGTAAACTTTGAAGGACAAGGTACTGATTGGTTTGATTACACCTCTGAGGTCTTTTAATAATGGAGTAAAACCAGAAACAAAACGAGCGTTTTAGTAATGTCGCAGCCGTATCGAATGCGAAATAGACTTTTGCAGAAGTGGGTTCGCAGCTACCCTTTCACTTGGTGTCCCAACAATTTCCTTCCTTCATTTTCATTAATTTGCAAAAGTTTTGCAAAATTAATTTGCAGCACATCTGTTGCACATTTGTGTTAAACCTCTGCAGTGCTCCTATAGGTCTTCGGTTTAATTTGTTGGGATGAAACAATTACGGTTCATGCTTGGCTCGCGATTAGTAAATCAAGTTGAGCTGTAGATCCGAAGGCGTTTCAAGGAGCGTTCTGAAACTGCACAGATAGAGTACTTAACAATATATTGAGGTCATCTCATTAGATCACCCGTTGTGTTGTATATGCTCACGCTATGATCGGTGCGCAAGGAACATCGGTCGAGGATTCCTCAACGTTATGTCGAGGATTTTTGCCTGATCAGTACGTTCTCCCGCGCGGACATTCACACTCGCCATGCGCGAGCCGTCTGTGCTCTCCGCGCGTATGTTCACTCTCGGCACTACTCTCGCAAGTACAGAGCCATGGTCGAGGAATTCCTCGACCGTTATTCACCCTTGAACCAGGTTAAAGGTCAGGCATACAATACGAAGATGTGGGATAATGGCCGATTTTTCGGTTGTTGTTAGGACCGCGTCGCAATTTATCATGCGAGAAAAAGACGAACATTCAACGACGTCAAAACTGTATTCTAATCCGTTTAGCAGTCTCTCCCTTCGGGGGAAAGAAGAGCTTGTCCGAACGGGTTGTACTCCATGCTCCATGACTCCAAAATCAGAGCGTATTTAATCTTAAATTAATCACCACGTCGTAATTCACGGTTCATGCTATGGGTGTACTTGAGGTATCTCGTCCAATAGCTCATATTAGCCGTCATTAGCCCCTTGCTCAATCAAACCTTAGCGTCTTGTTGCACACTTTCAACCCGCGTCAACAGCACGTGATACTCGCGAGCTACTTTAACCTACTCACGGAACAGATTATTCGACATAACCTCATCTGGAGTTGTTGCTCCAACCTCTTGAATGTTATTCATCATCACTCTAGGACAAATTCTTCTCCAAAAGATCCTTTTTTCTTCATTTCCGGTATCATGGACTGCATAGACCCTGGCGTTCTCCCACCTTGGATCGGTACGGGGCAGTGGTCAACCAAGGCGTGAGAGTCCAGACAGAAAAGCACATACTTTCTGCTTTTCTAGGACTAAGCCTTTTTAAAGGAAGGAAAGAAAGCAGAGACGCTGTAATAGCGTGAATGTGCGGATCACTACTAAACGCTGAACCACCAAGCCTTTCGGTTGACCGCTGGACGCCTCAGATCCCTTTTCGTTGTGTAAGTTGCGTACGTAAGATCTATGTGAATTCTGATATGGATACCACATATTGTGATAAAAAATGCATGTCTGTTTGATGAGCCTACGAGCTCTCCTATATTGCTCAACGCACGATCTCATGTGATACGCCCCTGGTGCATTTTTCTTTGCAAAAATGCGGCTTTGCACAATTTTGCTAGCCCACTGCACAGATTATGTGCAATGAAGTAGCGAGGTTTTCGCTTTACTTTCCAAGTGCAATTTTTTTTACGTCTGTAACCTTTCTAGTACGGTTTATATGCGCTATTTTTATGGAATTCGTTCCCTCCATGGTCTAAGCAAATTCCATCTACCTACCGCACACTGCTTCGCTTCTGTGTGGCAGCTTGCTGCATATGGTAATGCATCCTTCCTTAACGATATTTTTGACATCTTTTCAAGCTTTATGTAAGAAGTGGGTATGAAGTCGAAGAAAAGCGTATAGACCTGGGACGGACCCATATCGCTAGAGTTGTATAATTTGTTCTTTTGTGAGAAACTTCAGTCGCTTCATTTTTATTTTCTGTGAGTGTGTAGCAAAAAAAGAATCATGCCTGTACAACACCTAAAATAATAGAAATGGTTTTGTTCGAATCACATTTGGGCTCTTTTTCTTTTCCATCTTCTTAAATATACATTTTAAATTGCTGCAGCGCTTTTGATTACCTTATCACCTCTACTATGTTAATAACCGTGAAATATTGTTATATGTGTACGGTGCTCATATAATATTGGTTGTCTCATAATTCCTGACTCATTTCTATTCAATTTCAAATTTCTTCCGTCTAAGACCGTTTCATTGCGAAATACGTTAGTATGTTGAAGTATGCTTCAAGTGCCTTAACAGCGTGGTTTCGGAAGCGCAAGCCCTTAACGGGTTAATCAACTAGTAATAAAAATAGGTCAGTGACTGCAATCAATGATTATGCTTTACGATCCTCAAATGAACTCTATTGCAAGGAGGAGAGCAGAGAAGATTGGCGCTGTGTTTGACCCAGTCTCTGGGCGCACGCATAGTCGGTCGGACGACAGCAACGATCGTAACTGTCGCACAGCATTGGATGCGTATCGATCGTCGGACTTGCCTGAGTATTCGACGATTAGATGCAGTTAGACAGTCAGACAGTTGCGATCGTTGCTGTCGGACGACCGACTATGCGTGCGCCCTCTGCTACCGATAGGGTAGTGAGCTAGTGGTCTAATCGCAAGCCAGGAAGCACCAGCTCAACCAAAGCCCGAACTCCGTATTCTGAGAATATTACTCTCGGTTTGTTGGATTCGCTGGGTGGCCTGGTTTGGGAACCACTTCAATGTATGAAGACAAGCATTGCTAAAGTCAGCGTGGAATAGCCCTCTAGGCTGGCTTCGGTATTGCGAGGGAACCGTTAGAAACTTCTCAACTTCTAAATGTCGAAATTGAGACAGGAGTTATGAGACAATCCAACAAATGAATATGATATGTATAACTGGTAGACATTACTGAATCTATTTCTCAATAAGAACCCAGAAGAAGAATAAGCGGTTTAGGATTGTGGGTTTATGTTGCTGGATGGAAGCGGTTGAACACTTCAACCCATTGCGTTTCACGGCGTTTTTGGCTGGCAGGCGCATATGGCGACACCTGCTTACACTTGCCATTGCAAGCTGCATAGTAGACGTTAATACTTCACTTACATCATATTCAATATATATGGAATATGATTCAATGTATTCACTTAGGCGTCGGCCATATGCGCCGGCTAACCAAAAACGCCGTGAAACGCAATGGGCTGAAGTGTTCAATCGCGATTTCCATCCACCAACATAAACCCAGAATCCTAAACCACTTACTCCTCTTGGGTTCTCATTGAGAAAATAGATTCAATAGTCTATGTTGACGGGTTAGTCTTTTCAAGCTGTGTGCGTTGCGTCAGAAGCCGCTGCAAGAACGCGCACTTCAAATTTTTGATATGGTGCATGAATGCTACTAGCGGCTCGATTTCACAGTTTCATAATGAAATGGGAAATTATCTCAAGGATTTAGCTGGGTACGCTGCAGAAAATAAATTCACTTTGAGCTGTTTCAAAGTCTCCTTCGGCCTTACCATTAGTTTTTGATTTGTGTTCTATGTATTTATTTTGATAATAGTGTTCTATCTTTCATTTCATTTCACGAAATGTATCAATTTCGGAATGGACTCCTTCATCTCTTCGAGAAACAATCAGTATTATGCTCCGACGAGCTCGATTGTGTTGCATTGCAAGAGATTCGGAGGCTTCCGTCGACGACCATTACGAAGTTTAAAAGGCTGTTTACCAGCACCAGTAGGCTCGGACCTGATAGGATTGCTTCTTTGACTTCACGAGCTAATATCGAATTATATGCGAGGGAGCACAGAGTACCGACCTGCGCTGCCCGTCGTTTGGTCGCTGAAATTGCTACAAGCGCACTTCCTCGCTGCTCGCACACACATCAATAGGGAGGTTTACAA